TCGAAAAATGATAATAATTGCCTTACTTTTTTTGAAATTCTTTTGTAACTAAAGAATGATATTATACATGATACTATAATCAGTATAATGATACTAAATGATATAATACTATAAATTTAATAGATCATTTCGCTTAGCTTGACGAAAGACGTCATGTAGAATTTTATGAGAACCATTGATTGATACTTAACACTTCGCATCGACGCACGTATCTTTAATAGAAGAGAACGACGAGTGTCACCCGCCTCTTAGTGACGTTTTCGTATCCCGTCGAGGACGTCGATTCGGAGAGTGAAAGATCCTGATCGCTGCTCGCTCGTGTGAGGGGAGAAAGGGGAGGATGGGATGTTGGTAAACCCATTGAGAAACATGAAGACACCAATTAATTCAACGGTAATCAATTAACAGTTTAATTAGTCTAACAGTTTAACAATGGACAAACGATGGCTCGCCTAATCGACGGGGATAGAGGTGATTCGGGGGCATTGGGGAGGGAGAAGAGGGCGATAACAACAAAACAATACCGCTGGCTATTTGCGCTATACACGGGACGTGTTGTGTTAATCGAAATTTCTGCCTGGGCATCGATTGTACTACGTCCCCTTCAAACAATCGCACGAGAAAAGAAAAGCAAAAGAAGAGGAGAAGCGCAATCTTTCTCTCTACGACGAATTCCTTTCTTAAGGAGAGGACACTTTCGGTAAGGAGGGAAGATACGGCCCCGTAGGCACTCGACGGGGATCGAAGAGGGTTCGACGATCACCTGCTGGATCGGCCGTGACCTTGTTCACCCTCTCGATCAGGGGTGCGCTCCGGTCGTTGCACTTGACGTGCTTGAGCTTCTTGCCGCTTTCGAGCTCCTTCATCATGCTGGCCCAGTCCGGTCGTTTTCTCGGCCTGGACTTCAAAGATTCCAGCTTCTGCATTTGGTTATCGTTGAGAGGCGGCAAGTCCTTGAGGATCGTCGTACGACTGGGCGGCGGTGGTGGCGGTCGTGGGGGTGGCGGTGGCGGAAAATTCGCTCGCGACGAGCTCTTCGATAAAGTTGGTGCACCTTAACATAGAGGATCTTCATTATTTAGGGAAAGTGTGACATTATCGTGTATAAAAGTCATTATTTGCATCTAAGATAGGATCACACGCAGAAATATCTTCCATTTTAATAGATAAAATTGAAGAATTCATCCTTTCAATTGATGTAAAACTATACACTGTTAAATTCCAAATTATATTCAATTTGAGTCATTTCGATATGACGTTAATTTAACTAAACCAATGGGGTTAAATAATACTGTTTTATGTTAAGATAATAAATTTTGAAAACACGTGGTAGTTAAAAATAACAAAATGTTATTTAACTCAAGGTATTGATTTAAATATTTAACAGTGTTTTTTAGTTTCGCTCACTTTACAAGTAAGTATTCGAAATTTTATTAAAATCGGAAAAGGATACTTCGCCAATTCTGTTCAATCCTTTCGTGATGTTTTATTATATTGTTACTTCGCTTCTGAATCATGTTGCTAACATTAATTTACTTTACATTAATTTACTTATTAATGTAAATTATTAAAGTCTGTCTTGTTTCTCTTTGTCTATCCATAAAATTGTTCTAAATTCCGTGTCTCTATCGCGTGTAATAGATTCGTCGCGCATAGAAAATGGTTTTTGTCTCAGTAAAAGACTTGGAATTGAGAAAAAAAAAGAGTTCAACGTTCAATGACGATTTCATATCTGAAAGGATTAAATGTTTGACATCGCGAATGATGGAATCTACGGGAAGGAATGGCTGATCATCGCCGCTCGTACCTGTGGTGCTTTCACTCTTCGAGAGTGGTAAAATGTCACCCCGTGATCGAGATCTCTCGATGCGGATCTGTCGCTCGAGTTGCGGCCTCGAATTTGGCTCCTGTCGTCCATTCTCGCGTGGCTTCGCTGGCACCGGTCGGCCACTCGGGATCTTTTCATTGTTCGGCTGCTTCGGTATTATCGTGATTTTGCTCTGTTTACGCGGTCCATCTGACGAAGGTGCTGCCGGCTCCGCGGGTTTCGGCACGCTCTGTCAGACCGAGGAAAAGGAACACTTACTTGATTGTATAGCATTAATAATATGAGTATACAGTAAAATTTATTTTTATCTGTTTAGCCAATGGTATAATAAACTATTTATTAATCTTAGAAATATTATGTGTTTATGTGCAGATAACAATATGTATGTATAATATGTATATGATAATAATTTATATATTTCTCTTTTATGAAATTATTAATATGTATGTATTTTTTATTATTTTATTATCTATTCTATTTATTATATATTTCAATATCGTTTAGTAAATTAAAAAGTGTATTAAACAGTTTTATTTTTCACTCCATTAACAAGAATTCCGTCACAGTTCAACGAATCGAGTTTACGTTTTTGCGGCGACCGCCGACGTCTTTTCTCGATTCACAGTTTACGTTTTTGTCACATTCTCGCGACGCAAATCAATTTTTCGCGCTTTTTATTTCGACGTGTTTTTTCTAGGATCGTGCCACGTTAAACAGAATACGAAAGAATAATCGTCGCACGTCTCGCGTAAAGTAGCCATGATAGAAAATAAAAAAATCGCCCTCCCTCCAATCCTCTTCCCTTGATTGTGTGTGACAGAAAGAGGGAGAGAGAGAGAGGGGGGGAGCAGGGGATGGAGAGATAGAGAGAGATCCAAAGAATTTTCTTGGCAAGTCTCGGAGAATTCGTTCCGCCGGCTTTAAATAATCCACATTGAATTTCGCACTCGAGATATCACGTTATCCAGCTTTGATCGTCATCGATGCGGAGTTTCCACCTTTTGAAATAAGTGGCTCTCGTACGTGGAATCGCTGTTCAACGTTCGGGCCATTCTCTCGGAAATTTTTGCCATCTCTTCTTGTTTCTGTAAAAATTGTTTGGCCGAAAATATTATTTATCCGCGAAATTCGCGCTTTCGATGTATATCCGTGACGTTGCATACGTGATTTTCAAGCGAAATCGCGATATAAACGTGTTAAGAAACTGGCGGAAGACGCAGCTGGCAAGCCATTTGAAATAGAAACGCGTGTTCTTTAAATAATCGTGACCCAGAGGCTTATATGCGGGCCCGCACGCACGACGGATCTCACTTTCTTTCGCGTCGAAAAAACGAAATCGCAATTGACAAACACGTGCGGCATGTCGGCAGATTTTAACGAATGGCCGTGAACTACTTGCAGCGCTCTGCAGTTTTTTGAATAATTAAAAGAGAATTAAAAGCTCGAGCTAATTGTAAGCAAAACTTAAAAGAAGAGGTCAACGACCAATAACGAACATATAAGATGTAAGTTCTGTTTAAAATAAAACACAAATTTATTTACAAAAATAGGATGAAAAACATTGTACATTTTGACTTTACTCAGTCTTCATCAGCAATTAAAATAGAATAGAAGATACATAATTAGATAATGAAAAAGGAGAACAGAATAATAAAATAACAATTACAATGTATTGCGGTGATTAAAATCATATAGTAGAATAATATAGAGCAGAACGAGGATATATTAAATAAAAACCTGGAGCAAAAATCGAACACATTGTCAAGGGATATAAAAATGAAAGTTAACCTGACAATTAATTAAAAGTTAACATCAAAATTCCGTTAATAATTCAAACTAATATTACATTACTATTAAATGTTTGAAAGCGCGAATAAGTAAGTCCAAAATATCCCGTTATAAAATGTTCAACAAATTAACCACCGATAAGTCTGTAAATTATGAATTCAATAAGAATCCGTTTTCAATCAAACGCGGATGAAACTATAAATGGTTCTATATTAAAAAAAAAACACGAAATTATAAAAAACTCTAAATTGACAAATATACCTCCTCATGAAGTAAAATCGTATAAAAATAAAAGGTTAAAAACTTACGATTATGGTCAAGCAAAAAATAAAATAAAAATATGTCCAAATATTTGCCACTAGCTTCTTGTTCTTGTAATATCTTGTACGCTAACTATAAGAACAATTAAGAGAGTTAACCGATATTTTTAATGTATATAATAACAGAACTCAAAAGTTCTTTGATATGTTATGCCTGAGAAGTATTTACAAACTCTCTAACAATTAGTATATCGGAATATGACTCGTCCAAAAATTTGGCATCTTTGTTAAGGTTTATTCTATACTTTGTTCTTATTTGTGTATCACTTCAGAGAGAGAGAGAGAGAGAGAGAGAGAGATGTGAGTCTTTTACAAAAATTATACTATTAATATTTATAATATATTATAGATTTTTTTTTATTAAATTCTTAATTTACGAACTTAATTACGGACCAGTGATTAATTTGTTCGAAATCTCACCGGGGTATTTTTAGACTTACTTATTTACGCTTTTATACAAGGTGTTCAGTAATCGTCGAATCTCTTTATATATAAACGATATTGAACAACGATATAATATTTGAACTATTGACGGATTTTTTTGTTAATTTTTTAATTATAATTGTCAGATTAACCACTCATTTTTGTGTTCTTTGACAATGTATTCGACCTTTGTTACAGGCTTTTATTTAACACACCCTCATTTGCGCTTGTTCCGCTCTATTATTCATTTATGATTTTGATCACCAAAATACATTGTAATGGTTATTTTATTGTTCTTTTCTCCTTTTTTCTTTCATTATCTAATTATGTTTTTTCTATTCGATTTTCACATTATATTTTAATTGTTGAAGAAGACTAAATAGAGTCAAAACGTACAATGTTTTTCATCTTATTTTTGTAAATAAACTTGTGTTTTATTTTAATACCTTATTATATATTCATTGGCCGTTGACTCAATATTTTTTATTTTGTTCTTGTAACTATGATCAGATTACCTGCGATTAACAAATGCAATAGGACGCGTATCTTAAATTTATAACTATTGTTAAATTTCTGAATAATACGATATCATCAAGTATATAAATAATAATATTAATAATAAAACAAGGGCAAAAATTTTCAAGTAAAATAAAGGATTATTGAATCAAGAATTGGAAAAGAAGATCTGAAAACTTTTAAATAATTCTATCTAATATCTTTACTAGTATCATTCGCATGTAATAACTAATAAAGAATTGAAGTATAATAAAGAATTATGCAATCAGCGTAACGAAGCATGACTTGATTGACGAATCTGCGATTTAAATTTAATATGTTCTATTGATGATCTAAGTATTCTAATAAAAGTGTATATGAAACGATCAGCAATCTAACAACATAATGTCAGGCCACGCAAAATCTTCATACGCCATCGCGATTTCGCGCGTCGCTTATTTTGCGCAGATTACATATTGAATATCAACCCTGATGTGATTTTACGTGGACCGTCGCCAAGAGATTAAAGTAATCACTTAGGAATTTTTCCACGTAATATGCGCTAAAGAAAGATAATGTAATAGTTTCAAATGTGTTACTTCAAATCGCTCTTATAAAATATCTTAGATTATCAGAGATTATATAATTGCATAACGGATTGCAGACGTGTTTATTCATGACCTGTAACTTGCATTATTTGAGAGAGAAACGCATTTTAATAATTTATATTTAATTTATAACCACTCTCCCCGCAACGATGAAACGAAAACATGCTTACTGTCAAACTATCTGTAAACTTTTCTGTAAAGAGAATATAAAGTAGTGAGTTTGTAAATCAGGATGGACTATCAAAGTGCATTGTTTGCATACAACAGATCGTGTGGAACTTCGCGCCACCCGAAATGTTTATCGCGCTTACTCGTTGCAAGACACCCACGCCGGCTATTAATATCACCGTCAGTAAAGTCTGCTGACTTTGAAACCCAATATCTGAATGGAAAAAGACAGCGAAAGTTGCACAGGCGACTCCTATTCTCGCTAGAAACAGAACATGTTACCCGATTTCGGCGCAAATGGAAGTCACGATTTTCGTGTTTGAATAAAACTGTTGCTTTCTTCAATCAAATGCGCTAGAATAGCTCCGATTAATTTTCGTTTTGTAACTTAAACAAATGCGTAGAATTGTCCAACACTGTTGATTGCTAGCTTTAAAATATTGTTATTTAATTATAGAAAGAAAAATATAGAAATATGATTTAATAATCGCTTCAATTGTAATATGATACGTTTCTATAAGTTCGAGCGATCGTTAGGAACAATTTGATAGCGAGAAATTTATAAAAACTACAAGAAAAATACTTAATGATGAAAATTGAAAAACTTAAAAAAAATTATTAAATTTTTTATCCGCGCGCGCGAGGCTGTTTGCTTCATTACTTCCAAATAAAAAAAGAGGAAAACCTGTCTTGGAGCAGCTTATCTCGCGACTATCGCGAAAAGGAACAATGCTACATCATCAAATCTTTCGAAATTCTTCACCCACCTTCAAGGTGACTTGGGCAAAAGCCGGAACTTCCTCAGTCTTCGGCTTAGAGTCCCTGCGGGAGTTGAGGGTCCAAGGCGCGGTGGGCAAGGGCAACGGGTTTGGACCATCCTTGACCCACGGCGGTCGGAAGGTGGTCCTCTGCGGTGGCTGACCACCGGCGCCGGGCATCCTCGCTCAGCGTTCTCTCTCAGCGGCGGGGGATGATCCTGCTCCTGTTCCACCCTCAAGAACAACGCTGTCGCGATGCGTCGATCTTGCGTCCGGTCGGCGATGTTGATCCTATCCGATCGCGTTCGCTCGTGTTCGCGGGACAAACGCGATGGTCCACGCTGTTCTCCGATGACGATCCTCCCGAGGACGTGCGCGATGCGCTACTGACGGACTCCTGGACCGATAGGATCGTGATAGGTGGGGACCACGCGTGGGTGAGGTCTCTGGGGCGACCCCCTTCTCGCGAGAGTGTCGGGAACAGGAATCTCGGAGTCGCGGCTACACCCTCTCTCCAGGCGGAGAAAGATCCTCGAAGATACGCGATCGTGCGGCACCACGACGCCAGTCGACTGCCGCGTTCTCGCGTCTCTCTTTCTCTCTCTCTCTTTCGTTCTCTCGTCCAGCTGGAGAGAACGACTGCGGATCACGACGCCAACGGGGTCGAGAATTTTTGCGCGAGTCCGGGAAAGATCGAGACCTGGACCGCGCAACAGGCGGACTGCACCTCCCTAACCGTACGATATTTTCGTCCGTGTGACGTCATCGAGAGACGCGAGCCTGAAATAGAAAGATGATCCTCTTCTCCTCTAGGACGCCCTCGGCGACACGCTCGTCGAGGCCTCCGCCCGCCTCCTCGTTTCGCGTCATCGACGTCCTACAATGCATTCTGCTGTCTGTTTACGATGCAACCGTCGATCGCGACCAACCACGAAGGTCGATCGATCTTCAGGGTCAGTCAAGTCAAGCCGTAGATCCGAGCACGGCTTATGTCCATTTCTGCCAATGCGAATTAACTTTAATCTCGGTTTAACTTACTTTTTATCTCTTTCTAATTCTTAAAACTAGAAAAAGATAAAAGGTAAATATATAATACAATTAAACAATAATAAAGGAACATATATCGACATTAAAAAGTATGATAGGTATATCGCGCAAATACCTCGAATGTAACAATCGCATATGGTGCACTGTGGGCTGTGGGCATTTGATTTCATTTATTTCCGCAAGGATGATTGATCCACACATTGCAGTTATTTGGGTTCAACGAACCTACGGAAAATTAAATATATTATTGTGCTAAAGTTATACAAATCCGAATCACTCATAACCGAGATTGATTTATATAAAAATCCTAAATTTCTTGTTTTTTTTTTATTTAATAAATTTTTAGAAATTTTTAAAAATATATTGGTAGCTTTCCAGCAAGCGACACAAGTCGACACAAACGTCATTCTAACTTTCTTTTTTGACAATGAGTATAAACAAAGACAAAACGACACTTGTGTCGATTTGTGTCGCTTGCTGAAAAGCTCCCAATAGTTGCTTTCCCTTTACATCAAAACTCAGATAATTCTCACTTGTGACGTCATAACTCAGTTGAATAATGAATGCACGTTCTTTTTGCATGCTGGCAAGTGAGATTCAACTCAGTTTTTATGGTTTTTATTCACAATCGAGACCATGTGCTTTAATGAGTTATCGATAAGTGGTAAAAGCATTTTTACTAAAGTTAAGCTCGCTTAGTTTCGAATGCTCACACGAGATCGCGTTACCAGTTCCACATTGGGCGCCGCGGAGTCGCGGAGGAAAAGGAAAGCAGTGGAAAGCAGCGGAGAATGAAACGCGCGTGACTGATTGTAAGAAGAGGTAATATATTCTTAAATAATGCAATTCTCAAAGAAAAAATTATCTCTTTCGCAAAGTTCACCGTAAAATTTACATTTCGCATTAACGCATTATAGCATACATGTAATATTCATGTGTAAATATAACGTTGAAATTCTGCGTGCGGATCACCATCACGGTTAGGACCGAGGGCCGGTTGTTCCAACCTGTTGGTGAACTAACTGACTAATAATTAAATCATATATGTCTACCTTTATTTAATTTGAAGGAAAAACAAAGACACATACATGCTTTAACTATTAGTTAGTTCACCAACGCGTTGGAACAACCGGCTCTTAGGCCCTTAGGCTCCTTTGTAACCTCACACAGCCATTGACTTTAACATTATCTCCAATTAATATATCGTAATTATCCAATCATTAACGATAGATATAATTTAGCGCATTACTATCCGCAGTTTACTTTGCAAAATCAAAGTTCCATTTCTCGAAACCTTCCGGATATGGCGAGGTAATCGAAGTCGTACCGCCCTCGCGGGTAGAAAAAAAAAGAAAACGGAGCTTCCTTGTTCGCGAGACGCGTGCAAAGTCGGCAAAGTGAATTAGAGCTCTATTATTGTCGTCATTATCGCCGGGCTCGAAAGTCCCAATTAGGGCTCTTTCCGGGCTCTTTCCTCCCCGGGGGCGGGAGGGGACGCGAGGAATTTCCGAGGAATTCGCGGCGGGTACGGCTAGGTGGTCGGCCATTAATCCTCGCGCGTACGCGGTGACAACCACCGAATTAGTCGGGCGATCCGTCAAAAAGCGCATTTCCGTGGGCGGGCGTGCGTTATATCCGCCGTCTCGGACGAACACATGGCGTTCCGGGCATTTCGCACGCACTCATCACGCACGCACGCACGCACAACGCGTGCACGCATTCACGAGCGCGTCTCTAGAACGCGAGAAGAACGTGCGTATTCAAACTTTGCAGTTAGAGATATCAAAATCAAATAATTTGATACGAAAAATGCCGTTGGAAATTGTACATTGAAATCTAAAAAAATAAACTTCACTACCTTCTTGAACAAAAAAGTTTATTTGCTTGGAAAAATTTTAATTATACAAAAATTAATCATTGGCTCATAATCCGTCGTTAGATCTATTGTCGTAGTTTTATTTATAAAATAAACGGGGGAAAATTCAGAAATGACAGACAAGTTTCTTCTTTTTCTACTCTTTTCTTATTCTTTTAATTTAGAGTTTCATTATCTGGAGACGCAATATATTATCTTTGAACTGTTGTCGGCTCTTATATATTTTTAGCAGTGTAATATATTCACTTCACTTGAAATTCCATAGACCTGACGCGTTTAACTGGCGTATTTTTTTCCAGGGAAACAAGAGCAGTTATTTTCAATTGCATAAAAGCTGAAAAAAACCGTTTGTTCGTCAGGCCTGTCCAAGTTTTTGCTCGCGAGCAAAACGCCTTCGCCGCCACGTCACCCTGAGTGAAACGGAGAATAAACAAACGCAGAGACGTCGAGGCTCCACTCGTACATGGATCGCACGTGGTTCGCTACATCATCCGCTGCGGGCAGTATCAGAAGTGCTAGCGACTCCGGAACGAAGGTAGGAGGCTCCTCCGCTCGATGAAGCTGGAGAGAAGCCTAGTTTATGTGTTACATACCTTAGATTTCTACGCATACATATTTCACAGAACGTTTAATGGTGCAGCCTTGCTCTATTTTACTGTTATGTATCCCGTTTTTTTTTTTACTATTAAGTACAACATATGCCTCGACTATATCGACGATATATCTTTTCTTGATAGTCGTAACGCGTGAGCCCTCTCTCTTTCTCACTTGGTCGCCCCGCGCCCCTTTACCCCTGCGATACCTATTCGTATATAATACAAAAGCCCAATTTACTCCGCGAGATACATGTGCCCCGTAATACACCGCGAGAGAGTTGCGTGCCTGCTACATTACCCAGGCTGATTCTTTCAAGGCAGCGTGCATGGATGTTCGCGCAAGAACCGCGAGAAGAACGTCCCGCGGTTCTCGTCTCGTCTTGTCTTTTACTCGCGCGCGCTCGGCGTCGTTAAATTTTTTACTCGATTCGGACTCGCGGGTTCTCGCCACGCTCTAGTCTAGGGACACGCAAGGCGGATATCTTCTCGAGAAAATATCCCGCGGTGGCAAAAAGAAATTCGCTGCTTTTCGAGCCTGTCGTTTTATTCGGGAAGAGGTTTCCCTCTTCCCGGAGCATCTTCGAATTGTACGAGTACCGACGATGCGCCGATGAATTGCATTTTCTTAAGATACTCAGAATGATGTAATCTTATTTGTAAGGAATTGTGCCATTTTACTTTTTTATGACTATGCAATTCTTTACAAAGAAATTGTCCCGATAAATCAACGCGCTAAACATCAAATTAATCAATTATAGATTTAATAGTCTAACTCAAGTTTTTAAAGAGCTTACAAGGATCAGAAATTAATTTCCAATTTAATCTCTCAACTTTAAAGATATTAATCTTCCTGTATTATATTTATATACTATTATATATATCTTTATATATTCCTAAAAAAGTATCTTACATAAAAAAAACAGCTACGATTACTGCCACGTCTCTACGATCGGAGAGACTTTTACTCATTGTCACGAACATTGTCGAACTCGCTTTCCCAAAAGTTTCCAGACTTTCGGGGAAAATTTTTCACAGAGGGGGGAGGGTCTCGCGTTACAATTTTCTCGGAAATTGCATTGCCTGGCCCGCGAGTGCCATACACCCAACGTTTTCAACCCTGAATGCGTGCACACGTCGCGGCGGAGAGAGTATAGAGAACGGAGACGGAGGAAAAGGGCGGCACTCGCGTAATACATATACGTGCATCGTGCGTGCAATGGCCCGTAAAAGCTGACTGGCTGCTCGGCACCCGAGAGAAGAGGGATGCAGCCACGCCAGCTATGTTAATTAAACGCGTTTCTAGCCCCCGCATAGAAAACCGAAGAAAAAAGAAGAAGGAGCCGCGAGAGGAGGAGGAGGAGGAGAAGGAAGAAGACGAATAGAAACAGGGAGGAGACGGCAGCAGAGGAGCAGAGGAAGAGAGGAGAGTGCCGGGCTAATAACACGTCCCGTATGACGAACGCACGCCACACGCCCGTCTCTTCTTCTGCTACTTCTTCTTCTTCTTCTTCTCTTCCTTCTTCTTCTTCTTCTGCCTCTTGTTCACGCTCGTTCACGTACCGGGGCCCCGCGTCTTTTTGCCCGCGGGGGGAATCGAGCGACGCCCGAAAGAATCGAGAGCGCGCAGAACGACCGACGAACGGACGACGAGAGCATCTGAGAAACTTTGTAGGAACTGGAGTGAAGGCAAATTGGAGTATTAATTATCCCGGCGAGAGTGTGTATGGGAAGTCGATTTGCTCACGCTCTCGCGCGCGACGGACAGAGATTGCGTCTTGACGTCTTCAAAGGGTTGGTTGGTAGCTGCCGGCCGCGCGCGGCAGCTTTCCCTCGTTCTCGACTGGGAGGAGTCCTCTGGCAGGGCGGTCTGCACGATCTCGTCCATGACGATGATGACGATGATGACGACGACAACGACGACGGAGCGAGATAATCGCGGTGGCCGATGGACATGGGTATAGGGGAGCAGAAACGCAAACTGGAAAAAAGCATCAACCGTTTCCAGCGAGATATCAGCCTTTCTTCCGCCGTAAAGCGGAGCGTGTTAATTGCGCATGGTAATTGCTGAGCGACGGGGCGGCTCGCTCGCTATGTGTGGGGTATGTAAGCCCTGATCGAAATTAGCAGCCTCTTAACCGAAAGCGTTAGTAACTTAAGTAACGAGACTAGGCGGGGCATCTCCGTAACAAGATATCGTG